CCAAGGAAGAAAGCCTAGGGCACAGGACATAATTAGAAGACAGCTAAGTGATCAGGAATGTGTTGCCGACACCTAAGGGAGTTCAGGCAGGAAGGGAAGGAGGCTCCAGGTCTGGACTTGCCGGAGAGGTTCTCCCGCAGCCGTAGGTAGGACTCAAAACCCCCACTGGGGGGGGGGGTACAGGATGCTGCAGGAGAGCCAGGGTGTGTGTGAGGGCGCGACTTGGGCAAAGGCATGGGCTGGCAATAGGCATGAACAATAATGCACATGATGATGCAAATGATGCTAATGGCAAAGCTAACTTCTGCTGAGGGCCGTCTGCCACGGAACTTGTTTCATAAGCGCAGTCCAGCTCTTTGCGCTCTCAGGGACTGGGATGGCGCCTTGCGATAAAGGGTCACTGGAGCCTGGGGTAACCATCTGTGACTCCATGGCCCGCGTCTGTGAAATGCCCATGGGATCAGTTTGGGACCCTAAGTGATTCTGAAGGCTTTCGGTCGTTGGGTTCCTTAGACCTTTTTTTTTCTTTTTTTTTTTTTGAGGCGACTTAGATTTTTGTCCCTTCATCATGGGCAGTGTTTCCAGACAATCCACACGTCTTGAACACTCGTGAACAGTCATTCCCCACGTCCATGGTGCTAATTAAAAGACAGCCTCTGGTGTTGATCGGGGAGGCCTGGAGCACAGTGTTTGGAATGTAGGCTTCTGACTGGGATCTTTCCAACAGTAACCAGCCACCCCTGCAGGGTGTGTTCCCAGCTAGGGCCCTGCTGATGCTCGCTCACGGCACTTGGCAAGTACGGCCAAACTAACACGTGCGCCCTACACGGTCTGCGCCGGGGTGTTTTTGATCACAAGGAACGTAACAGAAGACATGGTGATTTCAAGCTTTTAAATATTTTTTAAGCATAAAAGCAATGCAAACCCCTTGTGTTAACATTTAGGGAAATATATTCATGTAATTGAAATGACTCATTCTCTACAAAGAGGTTAATTTCAGTGCTTATGCCTATCTGTATCTCATACCCATGGTTATGGAGATATTTATACATGTATGTACCCTTTATTACATGGGACTGAAGGAAATTTGCGGTCACATTTTGTGTTCAGCTTTGGATCCTCTTTGTGTGGCTCACTGGATGGGGATCGTTTTTCTGGCTCCTACAATGTTCTCTATAAATGTGACATTATTTGTTAGGACATGAGAGGGGACAGACGGAGTAGATGTTCAGGAGGAGAGATTGACCAGCTTGGTGGAGAGACTGGCTGTTGGGTTTGAGGGAGGAGCAGTTAGGGAGGACCCCCAGAGCCCACCCGAGTGAACAGGGGTTCAGTCCCCATTTCACCAGGTAAGGACGGTGTAGAGCTGGGCGTTCTCAGGTTGTCTGCGCACGTTCGGGATGGAATTTCCAGCCCCCGCCCCCCGCCCCGAGTTTTCGTCCTTTCTTCTTCCTCCTGTATTGGTTCCTGTGTTGACTTTCTGGAGTAACTTCTGATACCAATGGCGATGTTTCTTTAAAATGTGTCTTTAGTGCACAGAGGTGTCATTTAAAAGTCAAATCCATGAAGGAGTATTTTTTTGCCTGCTGAGTTTAATTTCAGGTGCCAGTGTTATCATAAAATGCAAGCCAACCTTGACTCTGTTTTAAAACTTTATATAAATTGTGCAAATTGAAATGAACTTATGCAGATGGAGATAGGAGAAGGAGGAAAATAGTGTTTTAAGTGCTTTTTTAAAAATATGTTTTTTTATCCTCAACCAAGGGCATTGCTTTCATTGCTTCTAGAGAGAAAGGGGAAGAGAGAAACGTCGATGTGAGAGAGAAACATCCTGGCTGCCTCCCATACATGTCTGACCTGGGGACGGGCCCCTGGACGGGGGATCACATGTGTCTGGACTGGGGGTCGCACAGGCCCACCCCTGGACGGGGATCAAACCCACGACCGAGGCATGTGTCCCAAGTGGGAAATGAACCTTCAACCTTGCTGTTACTGGACAAAGCTCCAACCAACTGAGCCACACCGGCCAGGGCTAAAGAGTTTTTTAAAGTGTTATTTAAATATTAATGCCACTTGCCCTGGCCGGTGTGGCTCAGTGGATTCAGTGCCGACCTGCAAACTAAAGGGTCACCAGTTCAATTCCCAGTCAGGGCACATGTGCCTGGGTTGCAGGCCAGGTCCCCAGTAGGGGGTGCACGAGAGGCAACCACACATTGGCATTTCTCTCCCTCTCTTTCTCCCTTCCTCCCCCTCTGTATAAATAAATAAAATCTTAAAAAAATATATTAATGCCACTGGAGTTCAGTTTCATATATGTATTCCTACTTTCCCCTAAAGTGTAAATTCTGTAGCTTTCTGATTATATTTCTGTGTATCATACTTTTTCCCCCGCTTTGGTATGGGAGCAAACATTGGTGATATATTTGACCCTGGGAAAGATAATACTTGTAAGCTTCAGTATGAAGGATTGAGGTTGGATCAGAAGAAAGATGCCCCTGAAGGTTGTTCGAGTCAATCCCCGAGGGAGGGAGAGCAGAGCCCGAAGTGTCCCTGCCACAGGTGCCTGGGACCCTTGGCCAGTGAATTCATCCGTTCAGGCCTTAGTCTTCTTGCCCATAAAATGGGGATGAAAAATAGGTTACTCTGAAAATGAAGCAAGTGAAAAAACATAGAAAAGTACTTAATACAGGGTAAGTGCTGCTTACTGCTAGCTATCTTTATTATTATAAGGGAACGGTTAAAAAAAAAAAAGCAAGCATTTTCATGCGGTAACTCCTGAAGGAGAACTGAATAGGTAGGTCGTTCAGGTTTATATCAGCCACGCAGCATGTCAGTCAGTACCTATTTGTTGGGGTCTGTTGTCTCCCAAACCCTGTGGTGGGGGAGGGGGAGGGGGAGAGAGAAAACCCTAAGTAAGGCTGCTCTCGGGTTCCCAGGCCGGGGGGGGGGGGGGGGGGCGGGGTCTCACCCTGTTTTTTGCTTGATGGGTCTCTGCTAGTCACTCAGGGGATTTCTCATGCAAGCCTCCTCACCACCCTCCCAGGCTGAGGGTGTGTCGCTCCGTTGCACCAATGAAGAAAGGGAAGCTTATCCGGAGACAGGGGCTTGCCAAGGCCGTAGCTAGTCAAGTGTGGAGCCACATTCGAACCCGGATCTGTCCACCTGCACAGCCTTCCCATCCCCGCACACTCTCTTCCTAGGGGACCCCCTGCATTTCCTCGGTTCTCGTTCCTTGTGACCAGCCGAGTGTGTGTGCAGTTTCCCACTCCTCCCCAAGGGTGCGGACTTTCCTCAAGTCCGCGTGCTGTGTTTAAATAGATTTTGCTTTTTTTGGCTTCGCTCTCCGGGGCACACCCTGCAGACCTCTGGTCTTTCCCGTGCTGCGGAAGAGGGCCATTTAGGAAAGTGCCGGAGCGGCTGCGGAGGAGAGGCTGGCCTCTGACGGCTCCAATGGGCTCCATTAGGTGTTTATTGCCGGCAACGTGCCGAACGCAGACTCCTGAAGCTTCGGAGGGTCTCCTCGGGTTAGATTCCGATTCCATTTGTTCGTTCAGCAGACGATTATCGGGCCCCTGCCGGTGACAGGCCGTGTGCTTAATCTTAGGGAATGGCAGGTGCATCCGACAGGCCGCCTGTCTTCTGGTGACACGCGGGCTGGCGGGGAGGGGAGGCAGTTCAGCCAGACCGTCATGATATTGTTGTGTCGCAGAAGCACATGCTTATGATTTTGTAATAAATGATTTTGTAATTTAAAAAAGGGGCATTATTTGTGGGAGACCCTGTGTGTTAGGAGGAGGTGGGGATGGGATTTCATGGTCTGTTTTTTTTTTAATAAGGTGCTTTTTAAAGAAGATTTTATTTATTTTTAGAGAGTGGAAGGGAGAGAGAAAGAGAGGGAGAGAAACATCAATGTATGGTTGCCTCTCATGCACCCCCTACTGGGGACCTGGCCCACAACCCAGGCATGTGCCCTGACCCGGAATTGAACCAGTGACCTTTTGCTTCACAGGCCCTCACACAGTCCGCCGAGCTACATCAGCCAGGGTGGTCTGTTGGTTTTTAATTCATTTCTAAGTCACACGAGTTTCTGGTTATACACTCAGGTGAAAGGCTGGGCCCTCCGCCTCCATCTGTGTTACCTTCTCCCCACTCCTTTTATCACATTTCAGCCAGTCTTCCGTGGTCTAAGGATTGCCCCTCTGCAGACCGGGGACGGGTTCCCTGTATGCTCCTCCCCACTCTCTACACATTTCAGCTGTTTTCCACGCCTTCCTGGACCTCTTCTTCCTTATTGGACATGAACGCTGTCCAGGCGGTCCCTGCTGAGTGTGTGTAGGCTTTCCATGGCGATGGAGACGCAGTCTCCTGCAGGCAATGTCGTGGCCTCTCCGGTCGCCTCTCCTCTGAGTGTGTCATCCGTCGGCCCTGCGTGCCTCCCACGGCTCCTGCCAGGGCCGTGGGCCCTGTTCTGCCGTCCTGACCACACGTGGATCGGTCAGCAACGTACCGTCCTTCCACAGGGGTTCCTGCACATCTCAGTCGCCACACTCCAGGAGTTCCCGTGGGTGTTTTCTGTAGGTCCCTCTTGTTGGGTTGTGCTCTCGGAAGCCAGCCCTCGTTCTACTTGTTCAAAACACAGCACCTGGGCAGTGCTTGGTGTATGCCAGGTTCTAGTGAAGTGCTCCTTGAACGAGTGTGTTAGTTCGGGCTTCAGAAGTCACCTGTAGCAGTATCAAGTGCACGTGTGTGGGGTTGTGCGTGCACATGAGAGGGAGGTTCCTTACAGTTCTTATCACCTTTTATTTGTTTATTTTTTTTTAACTGCCTCCGTTCTGACAGATCGCAAACCTGCAGCGTCCTCTCCCGGGATGAAAGGTTAGCAAGAAACCCTGGGCGAGCCGGGCTGCTCTCAGGATCTCCCAGCGATTAGTCTCTGCAGCCTGCATCCCTGTACCACCGTGCTAAGAACTCAGCCCTTCCCCTCTGCTCTTCCCTTGCAGAGAGTATTATGAGGGAGGCCGAGGACGCCACACTCCGGGCAGAGACGCGGCGCCGGGCGTAGGGGCCGCCCCCTCTGAGAGGATGCTGGCGATCTGCAGGGGGAGGCGGAAATTCCTGGCTGCCTCGCTGACTCTTCTCTGCATCCCAGCCATCACCTGGCTTTACCTGTTTGCTGGGAGCTTTGAAGGTAAGAGGAAGCTTTTTCTGAAGTGAGAGGGAAAGGGGGAAGAAAGGGAACGGCGGCCGTCCCAGCGTCCTAGGACGCGCCTTCGAGTCATCGAATCCCGGCTTGTCATTGCGTGTGGAACAGGATGCCGGTGCCCAGGCACAGGGACAGGTGTGCCCAGGTTTCCCCGGGTAGTTGGGGGGGAGTCAGTAATTCGAGGGGAAAAAGATAAACACAGAAGCAAGATAAGGTGCACCTGGACGCAGTGGCATGGTGGAGGTCCCACAGATGTCAAACCCCAGCTTTGCGTGTGGAAAAGGAAGGTTGGTTCCTCGAGGAGGGATCGCTTGGCTCTTCACGGAGCCAGGTGTTTCATTGTTTCTCCTCCCATCTATTCCTTTATGTGCTCCCATAGTCAACATTTTGTTACTGGTGCTCCTGCTGGGGTTCAGCACCTCTGCTAACGCAGGGGCTGGGTGGACGGTGAGGAGGCACCTGTCCCTTCCCAGGGCAGTGGAGGACACAGCCAGGTGACCGCACGCCGAGTGCTGCCTGCACGCTGCCATGTGTGGCGGGAGGAGGCCAGCCCAGGGGGCTGTGGGAGACGGATGTCGGAGCCAGTCGGCTGAGCTGGGCGTGAGGCGCGATCAGTCATTCTGACGGGCCCAGTACAGGAATGCCGCAGAGAGCGGAGAGCGGCCCTCCCCAAACAAACGAAAACCGAGGCTAATCCCCGCCTCTTTCCAGAAATCACCAGGAGAGACAGGACTCGCGAACCGTTCTCCCAGCCCGCAGTTTCCAGCGCAGCGCTGTGCGCTGTGTCAGAGGTGATTTTCTGAGCTCCGGGGAGGGAGGCCCGGTGGGGCTGTGGAGCACGCTTTCTCCTTCCGTACCCCACACTTGAGTTGAACGAGAAAAATGAAAGAAAATACGGCTCAAGGAAGTCGCTACCGTGTTTTTAAACATTTTCTTTATGCATAATTTTATTGACAGCTCAAGGCTACCTTTTAATTAGGAGTTCCACTTCACTCTCTGAGATGTGCCCTGCGTTGGCTAGATGGAATATCAATGAGGCGGAGCTGTGCGCCTGCAGAGCAGGGAGGGGCCCGGCGACACGCCCCTGTCACTCTCCTGTCCCCATTTCCCTGCAGGGGGTGGAGCTTTCATCTGAGCTGCTGGATGGAGTAAATTATGCCTTGGTGGGATGGATGGTTAATTTTGGGCAAAGGGATCAGATGGGAGGAAGGTGAGTCAGTGATACTCCTAGAAGAGCTATAAGGAAGTGTTCTCCTAGGGATGATGGAGGAACCCTTGTAAAACAAGGCTAAGAGCACCCCGCTGCCAGACTAGGTTTACTCCATTACAATGTTGACTCTCACAGTATAATAGTAGTAGTATGGCAATAATAACAACAGTAGTGATGGTGACCACAGTATAAACTAGTAGTGTTTTGAGCATTTCTACCTGCCAGTCCTCGTTGTAAGGACTTCAGACGTGTTAAGTCTTTCTCTACAATAATCAACATAGTAGGTACAGATGAAGAGGCGAGGCAGAGAAGCTCCAGTGATCTTCTCAGAGCCCCAAAGCCAGTCAAGACGGGGCCTGGATGACTGGGCTCGAGAGCTGGACTTTTAAGCCACAAAACTGTGTTGTAGGTTGGGGCTTCGATGAGGTAGCAGGCTTCAGCAAGGGGTTTGATTGGGTGTCACATGACATTACTGGGTGCCTTGAGGGAAGCTGCAGAATGTTGTTTTGCACTCATTGACAGAAACTCAATCCTAAAAGATTTGAGCAAAAGGGAGACTTGGGGGCTAACAAAACTTGTAAGTTTGAAGATAGCACAGGCTTCAGGTAGGGCTGGATCCAGGAGCTCAAATGATAGTCATGTAGCTCAGTCTCTCTTCATCCTTGTGCTCTACTTGTCTCTTCTGTGGTTTCTTTTGGGGTAGCTTTTACCCTGAAAACAGAAGAAGCTTTAGTTTACAACTTATTCTCCCACCCGCTGTAGAAAGAGGGGTTCCTCCTCCCCCTAATTCTCCAGGATTGCCTCTGGTTACCTGTCCAGACCCAAGTCACTGTGACTGGGGAGGCTGGTGAGGGTGGCCCCGAGCCTTGTGCCTATTTCTGGTCGTGGGGTAGAGAGGAGTTCCCTGAAACGTGTGGGGTGACACTGGGGGGAGGGGTGGCCCCAAAGGTAAGTGGTGCAATTTCTCAGAGAACAGACTAGACATTGATCTGCATTCCAGAGAATTCATAAATGGCAGTGGTCAGTCTTGTGTTGATATCACCTTGAAGGGTCTTTTCCAGCTTCACCTGGTCTCGCCCACCCTGGCTGATGGAGTGACTGTGATCCTTGACTTTGAATGATTTTATTAGACTAGAAGATAGAGCATAGGAAACTGGGAGGATTGAGAAAAATAGTCTGAAGCAACATGCACAGACAGGGCGTCGGTACTGTACCTGTAATCATGAAGCTTACCAGTAAATCCTACCCTTGGGACAAAAGTCAGAAACCGCTTTAAACAGGGGCTGGGTGACGGGTACATGAACAGGAGTATGCTAGCTAGAATGATAAAGGTGACAGATTTCTTTTTACGGGTAACAGTCCACAGCTGGGCCACTGCATTTATTTCTGGAGGCTATACTTTTAGAACAGTCTACATAATTCAGCACACTTAGGAGAATCTGGGTGAGTGACAGGGCCCATTGAAAGCTTGTTACATTAGAAATAGTGGGAAGAATCGAGGCTGTTTACCTGGGAGCTGCAGAGGCTCCAGGTGTATATGATCAGCTCCAGCAACTAGCCAAAGGGCTGTCACCTGACGGGGAGATCTGGGCGCACTCTGATGGCCCCTGAATGTATGTCGGGGCCATCATATCATAACGGGGTCCAGCTTATCATAACGCCAGTCAATCTGTCCAGTGCTGGGCTGAGCTGCCCTGGGAGGGAGCGAAACACGCACCGTGAGTCGTGCGCAAACACAGGGCAGTGTTGTGGGAGGGGCTGAGCGTCGGGGGCAATTGGCCAGGACGCCCCCGCCGACCTCCTGACCCCAGAGATCCCGAGACTCTGGAAAAGGCTACCACAGAGCTCCTGCCCGTCCCCGCAGCCATCAGCGCGCTTGCCAAACGGTCCTGCGGAGACATTCTTCTCTCTGTACACACAACGCGGCAATCTGTTTGTCGACACCCTTGAGTTTTCCGTTTCAAGGCAGGTGGAGCCATAAATAAGGTGCAGAGTTGCTGTCTGCTTTCATGGAAACGCTATTCATAGTTAATGTGGGTTTACTTAGTTTTCCAACCCTGTGTAATTTCAACGGATCCCCCGAGAGCCGAGCCGAGAGCCCACCCTGAGATGCGGATGCCCTGAGTGTCAGTTTGGAGTTGGACCATGCGCTGCACGAGGCGTTGAGCGAGCCCTGGGTGGGGCCAAGCACCGCAGGCCCTGTGAGCGGCCAGAGTCGCTGCGGGGGGGGGGGGGGCGGCATGGGGTGCAGCCCCTCCTCGTCAAGACCTTCGTCTCCTGCTGTGTGACATGACATGGTAAACATGAAGGGCACCTCTTGAGGTGCTAACGTCCTACCAGGTTAGGATTCTGAGCATTGAATGTGCGTTCGAAAGGGCCTTCTCCCACTCATGGGGAGGGGGAATGGCTTCTTGTGATTTGCCCCTGCGTGTGGATCCTGGACCAGTGGGTAAAGTGATGGGGACGCAGGCCTTTTCTCAGTGTTAACAAGGAACAGCTGTGCCAACCACTCGATTTTTTTTTCTAGGCATTGGAGCCCGCCACCTGGGACAGGGATGCGCTCCCCATCCCCAGAACTCTTTGTCAAGGGCCGGCCACGTGACCACGTGGTTAGGCGTGCTCATCCGGATCTTCGGTTGGCACCTGACACCCAAGTTCCCAAGTTCTCCTTCTTGCTTTGTTCCTCCTCAAGTGCACCTCTCTTCCTCTGCCACCTCAGTTAACACTCCCCGCTCCTTGGCCCCCCACACTTCGGAGTCCTCATTCTCTTTCTTCTTCATTCCCTCCATCGCGTGGTTGCCTCCCCTGGTTGCAGCTGACCGTGGCCTCTGGCCCCACGTTCCCCTGTGATGCGCACCGAGGCAGCAGCCTTTCCTCCACCCTCCAGAGGGCAGCTGGAGCCACGTGCTGAATCACAGCGCCAGCCTGCGTCTTGTGGGCCTCCTGGCTCCCCCTCCTAATGTCCCGCTTGCACTCTCCATCTAGCCGTCCTGGACTTGCACACCCTGCGGCCCGGCCCTCTGTGGCCTCAGGTCTCCTCACATGCTGTTCGTCCCTCCTCCCTGGGCTCTGGCCGCCCTTCCGTCCTCCTCCTCTCTCGTCTTTAACACGATCGGGTCGCTTGTCACCCTCGGCTCTGTGGGTTTCCTCTGCTACACGCCCCCCTAACTCCTGTTCTTGCCCCTCCTGCATAGCGCCACCCTTGGTTTTCCTCATCCGTATAACCCCCCCCCCACTGGTCTTCAGGACAGGTTCCCAGCGTCTGGAGGGAAGGGAGCGATTCTCTTGTGTTCTTCTTTCCACCTCGAGCTCTGACTACTACGGTTCCAGGAGATGAGCGGGTCCCCAACAGTTTGCTGAATGAATGCAAGAGGGAGGAAATGCACTGTCTCCTGGCTTGAATACCCTCGGTTCTCCCCGCTGCCTCCTGGATTAACGCCGCACCCCCGTGCATGGCTGTCTGGTCTTGCACAGGCTTTACCCCTTAGCTCGTACTTTCTCTTTTCACTGGGGTGAGTGTCTCATTGAACTCCCTGAGGAAAATTCTGCTTGGCTACCTCCTCATTTTTGCTCTTCTTTTTTTTCTGCTCAGTATACAGTTCTCGTCTCCACGACCCTTCCTCCCAGCCAACACCTTCCATGCCCACATTCAATGTCATTTCCCTCTGGTGTCTGATGCCATATGGAAATGCCTGTGGCAGCCCTCACCCAGGGATATTTTGCTTGTTCAGTGTCTTTCTAGCCACGCGCTCACGAGTGCCTTGAGACGAGAGAC